TCTTCAATTACACATATTGGTTTTTATTTCATATTTGACTATGTGAATATAATAATTAAAAAATATTTTAAAAAAATGTTAAAATAATTCGTATATATAGCTCTCAGAAACGTAAAGAGAAACTTCGGAATTAAATACTCTTTATCAAATGCATTCGAATACGGATTTGCTTAAAGGCAGATTGGTTGATAATTGTAATTATGATAATATAATCTCCTAATGATTATTTTCTTCGAAAGCTGTATTGTATAATAATATGATTTTATAAATTGCTTTATATATATATATATATATATATATATATATATATATATATATAAAGGAGCCAAGGCACATATTAATAGGCAGCTATATCCGCCCATATCAAAACCGTTCGATCTAGATACGGTTTTTAATCTAAGTGGGTGCAACATCACCTGCTGATTAATTATCTTCTTCAGTTTTTATATCTCGCTTTGCTGAAGTTTAATCAATTTCAAAGCACATTTTCCTTCTATCCAACGAGCCTATGTAACGGATATAATAATATTTAAAGGCTATAGACCAAACTGGTTTATAAGAAAATTCAATTACACAAAACTAATTATATATTAATCACTTTATTATTCCTAATCAAGGTAATATTACTATGTTGATTGATCTATCGGCTGTTGCGCATTCATTATATGCATATTATTAAACAGAAGTCATAATTGATGTTGCTTTGAAGATGGAATTACTTAAAGGTTAGATTCAATGGATTATGTAATTCACATTAATATATAGGAAGACCTGCATCTGCATTATTTGTTTTATATGGTGAAATGAGATTTTTGTAAATTTGATTTTATCTTTAGTTCTGATAGATTCAAATTATTTTTATAAATCAATAGTCTACAATACTACACAATTTGAATATTTTTTATAAATTATTTTCTGAAATTTTATATAATAATATTTTAGCTATAGTGTTTTTATACGATTTATTTAACGTTCTGTAATATTAAAAATAATATTAAAGATAATATTAAAGATGAATTTATAAAAAAACATCAACTTTACACAAATATTTATGCCTTATTTTGTTTTGAAACTTTTATTGATATTTTTATTTTATCTTTTATATTAAAATGCAAGGTTTCTAAAAGTATCTTGCATTATAAGATTCTAATATTACAGAGCAATCTAATCTAAATTTTAATGTCTCCAATATTTTGCAATATACTTTCAAAACTTATCCCTTTTTCTAAAAGTATATTCAAGTTGCTATATTCATTACAGCTTTATTGCTAATGGGGTTGTGGAAGATAAATGAAATATTAATGCGACATACGTAGCGCGAAAATCAGGGTAACACCTATTTATAATATATTAGGGTAGGAAGTGACCCCTGACCAAAAATAAATCAGGATTTAAATTTGATACACTTCACGGAGAATCTCTGTGTTTTCACACTAAACATTTGCTACGTTCAATATTTTCATGCTACAGATAATTTAAGTGATTGAAAAATTCATGCAAATTATATGACTTTGAACTCTATTTATTTTAATGATTGTGATAATTTTTTACTTTATACTTTACATTTGTGTTTATACATAATATATTTCAGAACTTTAAACTGAATTCACTTCTTTAAATAATTACTGAAAATTAGTGAGTATTCAAGATATTTTTTTATTATATATTTTTTTGAAATTAATTTGTTTATAAATTTAGCTTATGATAATGTCAACTGTACTTATTGAATTTAGTGAAAAATTTAGTTTAGTCAAACTTCTTCACTTGCGGTTTTATAAACATAATTGTTTATTAAAATTAAAATAATCGTAATGTTGTGATCCAATAGCATATACTTACCCCAAATATTTTGCTCATATGATTATAAAAAGATAATATTCCACATATTTGAAGAAAATTCACTTAATTTATTAATAGTGACAGTCGTCATAATAGCTAAACTACGATATTGATTTGAGATAGAATTTAAAGGGAGAAACACGAAGTATCTTTGTTCGAACAAGTTTCCGCCCTACATTAATATGATTCGTAGACCGAATTGGTTTTGAAAAGCCAAAAGTATTTTTTTAGTTTGATTTCTTTTAATAATACCTTTTACTTCTATATAGACAAATCACTTTGTGTGTTATTTTGCTGTAAGTTGAACATTACCAGGAATTAGGTTTGTTTTATTTGACTTGTATTTGTTGTGATATGTATTAATTTTTTTGGGATGAAAATTAAACAGATCAAGAAAAATCTAACTTAACTAAGACAAAATACGAAAAAGAAAGGGAAAGGAAATTAAAGATTTTTTGTTTAAAATAGTACGTTTTGTTACATATTGTTATATTATATTCATAAGCTTTGTTTAAATGATTAGTTGAAAGGATTACAGTGTTGTATGATGATTTTATGACTAATCCATTGCATTTAAGGGCTGTATTTTAGGATTTCCACGTAGACAAACAGTCAAATTACAATTTAATTTACTTTTCTCTCAGCTAACTGGTAAATTAACAAAATTATTGCTGAGTGAAAAAAGTGGCACAACCGTACCCAGTCTCTCCTATTGTTGTGTAGGAATAAAATTAGTTACAATTCAATTCGTGAAGCCTTTCTATGCCTTCTACTTAAATCGAATAAATTTTAACAAGACTAGATCTATAGAATGGGATATTCGAAACATAAAAATTAGGATGAGTTACGAATAAAACGCCTGATCGCACTGCAAATGCTAGAGCTTTTTATCAATTTGTTAGCTAAAGTCATATAAAGTAACTCTCATAATTTTATCAACAAAATTTTGTACAAAATTGACTATGTAATATATATCATAGAATGATTTCACAAAAATTTCCATTGTGCATTATTCAACTGCAAATAATTTGTTTCTTTTACATTAACTCAAAGGGCGTTAATCTATCAGCTGAAAGCTTATAATGAATCTGTAACTTGGTAGTAGTTCTATTATACAGTGTCGGCACATAATAATGTACTGTGGCCTCTAACTAATGGTTTTCTTGAGGTTCGATGCGAAAGCCAGACGTGTCGGCCGCGCAGTCTGCTTTTTAAATGAGCGTGTGTTCTCAGTTGCGGTCAATTCAACATTATAACTACAATGTTAACTGAAATGATAATTGTCAGACTTACTTACCTCAACTTCCAATGTGGAAATACTAATTATACTCGGGCTCAACTATTATTAATTTTAGTGTTGAAAATAGCATTATTTTTTTTAAATTTACGCGTCGAAAAAATGTAATATATGCATATACTTGATGTGGTATCATGTCGTTACTAAATAAATCTAAATAAATCTAAATAAATATTTTTTGTGCCAATTCTGTGGTAAAATAGACTTTTATGCCAAGGCTATGTTACGCTGCGTTTTTCATATAAAATGGTACTAAAAACTGCCAAAACGCTTCGTGGTTGCTGTACAGTCAGGCGTTTGGGATATAAAACCTAACCTAGAAAAAGCACAAACGTCAAAGAAGAATGTTACATTAACTGCAACTTTTTGATGCGTCATAACATATGCGAGATGTTAAATTTTATGTGTAAAACGGCTGATCGCACAGCAATTACATAGCATTTATCAGTTTTTAGTACCATTTTATATGAAAAAAGCAGCATAATGGTCTATTTTACTGCAGAATTGGCTTATTAATTACTATTCGCCAACAACAAGTTTACATTGTGACTTTTATCGTTTTTTCGATAGAAAGTTACACGAATGATAACGTTTTATTAAATATGAATAAGGAGTCAATGCTCGGGTAAAATGGAAATGGTAATGGAATGTCATGTTACGGGTCTATATTCATATCAATTGATATTCACGAACTGTTATCCAAGAGACATCAGAAAGTTACACTTATGATAAAATTAAATTAAAAATTGAATGTTTTGGAGGTTAGGTATTGTTTAAAACGCCTGATCGCACTTCAATTACATAGCATTTGACAGTTTTTATTATAATTTTATATGAAAAAGTCTATTTTACCGCAGAATTGGCTTATTAATTGCCATCCGCCAACAACAAGTATATATTGTGACTTTTATCGGTTTTTCGATTGAAAGTTACACGAATGATAACGTTTTATTAAGTATGAATAAGGAGTCAATGCTCAGGGTAAAATAGAGATGTTAAGGTAATGCCATGTTACGGGTCTATATTCATATCAATTGGTATTAACAAACTGTTATCCAAGAAACATCAGAAAGTTACTTATAATAAAATCAAATAGAAAATTGTTATGTTATAGAAAGTTATTTGAGCGTTTTGGAGGTTAGGTTTTGTGTAAAACGCCTGATAGCACAGCAAATATAGTTTGACAGTTTATGACTACCAACTCACACGAATATATACCTGTGACATAATATAACCATAAAATTTCTATTTTATCAGAAAATTGGCCCCCATATTTTATATTTTATGTCTATTCTATTTTTCTTTCAATAAAATGTATATATTGTTAATAGTTTTTGATGATAACACTTAAATTCTTAGCATTTTTAATATTTCCGTATTTTCAAATCAACTAAAATTGCAAACGTCTATATTTGTTTTGTGGTTCTCGACCAGTTACATTTTTAGAACATTATTTTATTTAAAGTTTTTTTTAGTCAATAATTTTTGAGTATTACAGATTTTTTGAATGTAAAGTTAAAATTATCATATTATTTAATTTAACAATAGTTTATTGAATTTTAGTACATTTAATTAATAATTTTATTATTTCATAGATCGATGTATCAATATATTAGATTATATTTTGACAAATTTTAATTTTAATTGTGATCAGTGTTATATTATTGCTTAATTATAGTTTTAATAGATTTTCTTATTTTAGTTTTAAGATAAAAAATATGCTCTATTCTATTTGAATTAAAGAATTGATATAATGTATGTTATATATTTGAAATCCAAAATCACAAGCACTAAAGATTATGGTTAGAGTACATACAATACAATTTCAGGTAATCAATATAAAGTGAGGTTATAAAATTTCGAATTATTTCACATAGGAACGAGATGGTGCGTCTTCTTGACATGTTTTTTGACGATACTTCTTCACCTCACTTATATATATGTCCCAAGGTTCTTTCGATTTTTTATCTTCATTGATTTCTTGCACTTTTGCTTTTTCAACTCTACCAGTTTTCAAAGCCCTCACACCGCGCCTTCTTCTTCCTATAGGAACTGGTAAATCCTTTTGTGTGTCTGCTGCATTTGTTGTATATTGTTTTTGCATTTGTTTGAACATATCTAGGAAACTACCGTCATTTTTAAACACTGACTGAACAACTAATTTTGGTTTCTGTTCTTCCTTGCAATCAGGCGTAATTTTAACAGTTTCACTTTTCTTTTTATTTTGCTCACTACATTTTGTATTCAATGGCTTGCTTGATGTACTCGTAGAAGGCTTATCATCGATATTTTTTAATTTGGAATGTTGACTACGTTGTAAGCATTTTTCATTATCTAGTGGTTTTGATCTAAAATGGCGTCTATGTGGTGAGCATTTTTCATTTCTGTGAGGACGTTTGACATCTCTGTTGTAATTTCTTTTATTAGCTAATTTATCGCGTGAATCAATTCTGTTATATGAGGGGCTACGTGATCTTGAATGATACCTTCTTTTAACATCATCAATATCCCTTCTTTCCCTATAATTCCTGCGTTCACGATAGTGCCTATCATGTGACCTGCTTCTGGAACGATAACGGCTATACGGCGTACTGTACCTTGATCTGCTGCTCATTTTTAGTTTGCACAATTACTAAAATGCTAAATACTAAAGTATTTTGTTTTAATTCACTATATTTATAGATACTTTCACACTTTACGTTCTCTTACATATGAGTGCACAATACGACATTGAACTGGGTGAAACGATTCTTTTGTTTTATTTGCTTCGTTACCAACATAGAAAATATCCTCATCTAAAGGGTTACCCGCTCAGACTCGATGGCGCTGTTGTCGCTTATCAGTTGGCAACCCCACGCTGATGATGCATTTAAATCAATGGCGCAAAATTTGAAAGAAACAATATTTTTTTTTTTTTAATTTCAATAAGTATTACAACTGTTAAATTATCAACATCAAGTAATATTGATAAATAATAACATAAATTTAAATAAATAAAATTGCAAAGGATAAAATTTACATAAAAATAATATCCGTAATATGATTTGATATAAAATATAAGCAAATAATAATAAAAATAAAATTAATAAATAATATAAATAAAATTTATGAATAATAAAATAATACTAGAAAAATAATAAAATATAACAAAATAATAATAATAGAAATAGTAAGATAATAATAATAATAATAATAATAATAATAATAATAATGTTAGCGTTAATTAATAAAAAATTTAATAATCGGTTATTCGAACCTAAATCTTATTACTACTAATATTTAGTAGTGTTTAATGAATAATATATAATGTTACGAAAACATAAAGTGTTAGTTAATTACATCATCTAATTATACCATAATTAATTAAATAATAATTTAATTAATTTTTTTTCTTCTGAATATATTCAGAACCATCTGAAGTGGTGATTATCTAATTTTGAACATCTGAAAATTTTGAACTGATTTGTGTTTCTTGTGAAAGCTTATACATTATTTCTTATAAAATTTTCTACAACTTGTCTCTTTCTAAAGTGAAGTATGATAAGATTTAATCTGTCAAAGCATTACGCATAATTTATATTTTATATCTGATTTTGAAGCTGATTACAATAATGGAAAAATTTGATTACAATAATGGAAAAATTTGATTACATAAATCTATAAAAAATTGCATATATGCATATCATCAATAATCATTACACATTACTCGTTCCAATTGAAATCCTTATTTTAATCAACTACAATCATAAAATAAATTTCAATATTTTACCTGATAATCTGTCTCTGTGTGGACATCAATCATCAATTATTTTTATAAATCCGTAAGCTACTGGTTGCGGGTTTGACATCCAGCAGTAGTGATAACAGATTTTCAAAAAAAGAAAAAAACAAAAGTTATAAACATCGAAATGGTTTATAAATAATAGACTATATAATTTTACTATAATAGATATAATGAATATATAATATATGATAGACTTTTATTGTTAGAAATATGTAGTACAATACAAAATAATTATTTAAATAATCACAAAGCCTATAAATACAATATAACAATATATATCAAAAAATATTTTTTTGAAAAAGATATCTTGTCTTGTATTGAATTTTCCTATCCTTTTCACTTTCGTATTTTGTCTTATTGGTCAAGTTAGATATTTTTCTATTTGTTTAAATGTTACCTAAAAAGGACAAGAAATACATGTCACAACTAGTACATGTTACAAAAAACAAAACTAATTGCTCGAAATTAACTACTAGTGTCCAACTTACAGCAAAATATCAAGCAAAGTGACTTATCTGTATATAAGTAACAGTTATTATTAAAAGAAATCGAACAACAAAACTTCCTTTTGATCTTTTAAAATCATAGCTTTTTACAGATCATGGTAATGTAGTGCAGTGACTCAGTGTAATAATGGAAACTTGTTAGAGCAAACATACTTCATTATTCTTACATTGGACCCTATATCAAAATCAGTATAGTTCATATGTTATCTTTATTGTATTCTGGCACAACCGTACCTAGTCTCCCCTACTACTATTGCAATTTAAGATTGTTTTTTTCTATTTGTAACAAACTATATAGCAACCAGTAAGCTTAGGATAAAAATCTTTTACTGGCATTATAAGAAATATTATTTATGTTTTTTTTATTTCATTAATAACAAATAATAGAATACTTTAAAAACAATAAATATACAAATTTAGGCACCTTTCGTTTTATGTCACATCAATCATTAATAAAAAAAAATATATAAAAATAATTTATTGAATCTTCCAACGGTATCCAATGAATTGAATCCATTACCGCTATCTTTTAATATTATTGCGATCCGACATAATTTTAATTGAATATTTAATAACACATAAATCACCCAGAACAATACAACGGCTGGGTACACGAGTAAAAATAAAACAATTTTCCCGTACAAGAAAAACGGCGTTCGCGTGTGTGAGATCCGCCCGTTGGCTGCCGTTGTTCGTCGTTCGGTGTTCGGTGTTCGACATCGCGTGCTCGCCACAGTAAATCAATTCAATTACAATCGTACCTACTACTGGAATCAACTGCTGCTAGCTAAACGAAACTACTAGCGGCGTTAAATGACAGAGAATAATAGAACAGTCATATATATGGCGTCAAATGACGAAAATAATAAATATTGTTTACCCGAACCAACTTAGATTAATAGTACAATGGTAGATATCGCGTATTTTTTATTACCATTTTTAACTGCTGTTTAAGAATATACCGGAGGCACCCAAATATGTTACAAACTGGCTAATTGATCAGGACTGCAATATATACACAATAGCAGAAGTAATCAGTAGATTTGCTTCTAAATACAAGACAAGATTGGAAAACCATTCCAATAAACTTGTGAAAAACCTGCTCTCTACAAATACTATTAGGAGATTAAGAAGATTAAACCCATTAGTATTACCCTAGTTAATTTACAATTTAGATTTATAATTATTTTTTGTATATTTTTAACAAACTTAAAATACTACCACTGGCTAGTATTTTAAAATATTATTTTACACTTTAAACATAAAAATTATTGAATGTCTTCTAGGCAGTTGTAATTGGATGGAAATAATAAAATCCGTCCTATATGAACTGTTGTGCTCAAACTTCTTTTAAGCTGTATTTAGATGGCAACCCAACGGTTAAACAATAGGGTATAGCGGGGTTAAAGGTCCACGGTTAAAATGGTTCACCACTAATATCCCAAACATAAGTAAAGTTAGTAATTTTTAATAACAATATTTGAAAGTAGAGGGTAAAAGATGTATAATCAGCCATCACCTTGATTCTTACGAAGTCGCTATCGAGAGATAATCAGCTATGTTTAAAAAACTGTAATAAAAGTAATTTCTTTGGTTGTTAGTTTTTTTGGTTATGAGCACTGTTGTTTAGTTTACGACACCTTAATATAACTTTTAACTATACGTTATTTAATTGTTTCATAAGATGTATTTTTACATCTAAGTTAGATTCAATAGTTTTTTATAGCCTCTATAAAAGCTTTATGTATGTGGGGTAAAAAAGTCCAACTGAACTTTTACCTTGTCAAATGTGTAAACAATAATAAATTAAAATAAAAAAGTAAATTAAGTTAACAAAAGCAATTTTACAGAAGATATGTTAAATACATACTTATTCTAACTGTGCTAATGATTATTTATGACCAAATATTAGATAAAGGTTGTATACAGTGTTATTTCTGTAAAACCCCTTTAAATTATAAAAATGACATTGTATCTGTTTGCCCGATGGCTGTCTTTTTTACCTAACCTATGGGATAAAAAGGGCCAAGTAACAAATTTTTGAAGGGCAGCAAAAATATAACCTTTCTACAATTAGCTAGTAGTTTTAGTGAACATAGTCATATAATTTTATGTTTGATATATGTAATTTGATGTGATATAATTGGTTTGGTTTTCACAATATAATTGCTCAAAGTCAAATTGGACTTTTATGTTTCCCCCGCCCCTACCTAACATATTTGATAAATTTTTACTACTATTAGAATTGTATCTAATATTGATCAAATATTATCTACTCATGTGCAGTAATTCCCAGGTACTTGGAAACATATTTTTTGGAAAATATATTTTTGACCTATATTTTCAAGTAAATTTTGATATGACTGTTGCTTGATACCAGATAGTCTTTATGATTACGAATCAATGCAGTTAGATAGCGCATATGAAAGCAAATATTATTTTAAAAAAAATATAGTAATCACTCCAGTGATGTAATTAAAAATATAAGATTTTTTTGCATAAAATGCTTAAAACACTTAGTTATGATAAAATTATTTAAAATCGCGTAATAATTATTTTAAAATCAGATAATAATTATTTTAAATGAGGTTTGTCTAATAAAACGAAAAAGTTTGTGGACAATAATGCTTTTTAAGCTTTTAAGTGAAATTAAAAAATTTTTTATGTATTTAGAAATAAGTTGTACATTTTAACTTGCTTTGTTGAAAAACTACCTAAAATCAAGATTCTTTGAAAAAGGTTTTTCTTGCTTAAAAGTAAACACTTAAAAATATGAATACATATTTCAAAATATATGGGGCTTTAAAACTAGACGATTTTTTGTGTGAAAATAACAATAATGCTCTTGAAGATTTTACTTTATATATAAAATACTAATATATATTTAACGGACATTTGGTTTGTTTGAAAAGTGCAAAAAATTTGCGTGTTTCTACGCTGAGTGTAACGCACGTGTCGTCAACAGTCAAATTATAAAAAATGATGATTTATTTCCTAAATTCATTTTTTTTTAATTTTGATATTCAATGTAATATCAATTCCATATTAATACCTCTTCGTTAGTACCTACCTACCTGTAATATTATATATGTCGTGCCGTCAAAGCCGCCACCGTACGGTTGCACCATTCCTGTCAATGGAACAATTATACAAAGGGTAATGAAATCGTACTAGACATGCGCGTGTTGACTCGTTTCGAAAATAAATTAATAATATGAAAACACTTAATGGATTCCGAGAATATGATCGTATTAAACGAATTATTTATGAGTAACACGCATTTATATATTATTTAATGGAGGATTCAATAAAATGGGAGATAACATATTTTTATTTTAACTGAATTAATCGCATCGGTTCAATTATATTTCGGCTATAATTTTTTTTCAAATTGATTTATTTTTTTAAATATCACTTTTTTACTTTTGTAAAAATATTTTTTCATTATATTTTACTTAAATATAAATTTTTTTATGAATAATATTAAAAGTACACTTATCACTTGTTTTACCCTGTATTTTTTTGTTTTTTAATTACAATGTTTATTACAACTGTTAAATAGTTAACATCTAGTAATATTGATAAATAATCATAAATTTAAATAAATAAGAGAGCAGAGGATAGAATTTACATGAAAATAATATCCGTAGTATAATAATTTAATATAAAATAAAAGCAAATAATAGTAAAAATAAAATTAATAAATAATATAAATAAAATTTCTGAATGTTTTACACTGTTTTTAAAAAAAAATTAACAAAATTTATTAATTTTGCATTTACACGAAATTATATACACTAATTGTTTTTAAACTTCGCTTTTAATTTGTATTTAAATTTTGCAAATAACAGAATTATATTTTACAAAATCCATAATTTATAAGAAAAAAATATAGTTCGACCATGACAAAAGATAAAAATAAAAAACTAGAGATTATATATTCTGTATAATTTATTTTTTGTTCAATGTGATTATTATTCAATTATTCATCATGTTAAAAACTGACAAAAAGGGCTTTTTTTAGTGATTTTCGTTTAGCACGGTTTCTCTGTATAAATGAATTTTTCGCACGTTTTTTATGAAACCTATCTTCCGAGTAAAAGTGTAATTGTTCAAATGATCAATAATATCAATATTGGTATTAATAAAAATAATAACCAATGATCGATGCATAGTGAGTAAAGTAATGTAGATTAACATGTATAATGGTTTAATATTATATTTTGATGACGCATATATATACTATTATTCGGTGGAAACAATTTCGACATGACTAATATAAATCAAAATAGTTTAATAAATTGCGTTCTATTTACCATTATCGAAATTGTAATTTGATTTGAACTAATGTTTACTCTTTACTGCATAATATATTACCTTGAGTAGAGAAATACATTTTGTTCCAAGAAAAACGTGTTTCATTGTTATTCTATTATTTTTCATAGTTTAGTATAACAGCAGATTTGGCAGATACAGTCTTTAGATAGAATTGAAATAAGCTAAGCGATTTCAAATATGTACATAATGCAAACATAAAATACAAAAACTTCAAGAAGAAAATTGTTCTTCAGAGATAAAATTGTTTGTCCTGTAATATTAATAATTTGTTTTTTTTTTGCTCTTTTAATTTTATTGCTCTCTTGATATTATTACCGTTGCACTTGCAATTAGTGGCAACAAAATTATTAAAATAAATATATTTTTTTCAATTTATGGTGAATCACATATTCATTAAAATATCAATTTTGTTATTGAAACATGACAGCATGAATTACAAAAGTCTTCCGTTTTAAAATTATATTATTAAAAAAATATTTTAATTAATTGCCATTTATATAACATCATCACAAATGGCATTTTAAAATAATTAGTTTTATGATAAATATAATTTTCTGTTGATTCATGGCCGTTGTTATAAATTAAACGTACTTAACAAAAACATAATTAATGACTTGAAATGAAATAATTGTTATAATACAATTTGCGTGGCAATATATTGAAAATTATTAAGGTAATTAAAAGTATTTGTTTGACGTGTGCACGTAAATCTTAAACAATATATTTATATAAATATATGTGTGTATACATTTATTAAAATTTCATATGTATATGCAATACTTGCATTATGTGTTATGCATTTACTTTTATTTGCGCATTGATAAAAATGCGACATTTCCTGTTTAATTCGACGGACTGAGTCACGGCATACAACCGACAAATTAAATTATTTATTTGTATAGCATTTTTGATTACATAAATTCTGAACGAAAACAAATTAAAAAAAATATTTTTAAGTAAAGCCAGTAGGTATAAGTAACTTGATAACTTAATTGGTAAGACTTGAAAAATTCTTACCAGTTTGTGCAATTTTATTTTATTTTCACGGATAATATTTCTTGTAAATTTGTCATATTGTGTAGGGCGGGGCACAAAGGTCCAATTTGACTTTGAGCAATTATATTGTGAAAACTAACACATATCAAACACAACTGTGTGACTATGTTCAGCAAAATTTTCATCAATATAAAAATATATTTTTGGCTTGATGAGTTTGAGCTTTACAAAATTTAGTCCTTTTTACTTCATAGGCATTTCGAAATAATAGCTACATTATTCAACCAATGCAAAATATAAATTCCATGGGTACATTTTTTACAAAGATAACACTGCATACAACGTTGATCTGGTATTTTGTCAGAAATATTTATCAACAGATTTGGAATAACTAATTTTTTAATTTATCACTCGTAAAATTGCTTTTTTACTTTAATTTTCTATTTTTTATTGTTTACACCTTTGCTTGGGTTAAGATTTTCTCGGTTCTTTTTACCCCACCCACGTGTAAGCTTTTATAGAGGTTATATAAAAAACTGTTAAATATAAGTAGAATTAACAAAATAGTTATAAAATAATTAAATAACGTATGCTTAAAAATTATTTTAAGGTCTCGTAAACCAAACAACAGTGCTAACAACCAAAAAACCAATATTAAAACTAAAATTTATAATTAATGTTTAATAATTTTTAATGAATTTATAATTAATTAAATAATAATTATAAAACAATTCTAATGGGATTTCAAAACATTGTTGTTTATCTCTTGTACGCCGTAGGAATCCTGGTGATGGCTGGTTATACATCTTTTTTCCTCTACTTTCAAATATTGTTGTTTCTTGTTTTTGACATGATAGTGTAGTAACTTTTTACCCGCGGAGCTTTAAGCCAGCTATAACTTATGAGTAAATTATGAGTATTTATTATTTTGTTCGATTACTTATTAAATGTGATTGTTTCAGGTGGAGCATCGGGTACAGGTGACGGAGATGATGACCCCAATTCATCGAAAAGGAGGAGGTCTCGGACGAATTTTAACAGTTGGCAGCTTGAAGAGTTAGAGCGAGCGTTTAACGCCTCGCATTATCCTGATGTTTTCATGCGGGAAGCTTTAGCAATGCGGCTGGATCTCAAAGAGAGCAGAGTGGCGGTAAGTTATTAACTATTTTTTTAAATTATTATTGAAAAGGAAATTAACCATTTTTAGTCGAAAATATTATTTCTTGATCGCATACGTCGAAATGTAATCATAAACTTACAATAATTTTCTTAGTTATCTCAAATACCAAACGCATTTACGGTTTTTTATTAGAGCAATCAGAACAATAAGCTATTATGAGGTGAATACTTTACCTACCGTTATTAGAATACAACTCGCAAGTCTCATGTTAACCATTTTATATTGGACGAGATTTTTGTTACGTGTTTGTTCTAATACTGATGAGATGTATATTACAGCATTGCGTTGGAAGGAATATTTTTAGTTGTAATTATATTATATATATATATATATATATATATATATATAATTTTAATAAAAATCGGACATCACTTCTGCTTGATATCAAGCTGTTCGAGTTGGGTTTTGAACCCAAAACCAGTGTTTGCTGGACTAGGATAATGTTATGCACCTTCTCATAATCTCGAACCATCTTGAGGATTTATAACATTTATTTTTCTTGAAATAAAATTGATTTGAAATATAGAAATTTTGTTTTTGGTTACTTCAAGTATCAAACGAACAGCAATCAGAACTGTAGTTATTCTGATTACAAATTCTGATACTGATGAGATATAATGAAGCAATGCCCTCAAAGAGCTATTTTTACTTGTTATTATATATTAGATCAATAATCTCAAGTAAAAATTGAATTTCACTACTTCTTGATATCAAGCAAATCTAAGTGGGTTTTAAACCCAAAACAAGTGGTTGTAACGTGGTTTACGGTAATGTCATTCACAATCTTATAATCTCGAAGCATATTGAGAATATATAACATTTATTTTTCTTCAAATAAAAATTATTACAAAGGTAATGTTTCAACATTTTGATCAGCATTATATAGAAAAAATCCAATTAGTAATCGTGGTAAAGTCAGTAGAATTGAATTTAACTTGTTTTTATTACTATCATTAATATGAATTGAATTTAAATTTTGAAATTATAAAACTCTACTAATGTCATTCATATTTTTTTATGTTACTAAATATGGTTTTTATCAAGCAAGTGAAGCGAACGAAATTCTAGAAATTATTATATTACATTTGCTTTTGCACTTTGTACAATCATGACTATAATTTAAGATTTATTTTGGTGTCCCAATTGCCAAATTGATTTTCTATTTCATAATTAGTATCAGGAAGCAGCGATGTCTAATATCTGTTCGAAAATGCGCACAAATACAAATAAAATAAATTTGGAAATATTAGATAGAAAATATTAACACTCATGTAATTTTTCTCTTTATATTTGTATAAGACAAATCTTTACATGTTTATTAGTTTTATAGAGAGTTTAATGTATAGAAACATTCATATTATTATTTCAAATGGATTTTATTATGGTGTCGTTATCTTCACACAAAATTCACTTCAAGAAAATTATGCAGGTGTATATAAATATTTTAAAGTTTCTTTTAAATTTATTTAAAGATAAAAAACACGACAATATAATGAGACATGCAAGTCTCGTTAACCAAGTACGGAAATTTATTATTATAAAGAAATTAAAGCCCACTTCCATAACTACATACATATTTATTAATATGAAAAGGAATTTCATACATACGAACGGAAACATACGCACGTATGCGCTCGCGAATTCTATTATTTTTTTGTTCACGTGAAATTAATGAATCTCTCACTGGATTTATATACATACATATTTATATATTTATAAAACCAGTACGAAATCCAGTCTAGAATTAAATAAAGCTAGAAGTATTTTTTACTAATATAGTCGAAGCTATAGATCAAACTTAGATCTCTGTAGGACAAGTAAATAATAATAGTTTCTTTACTGTTTTAGTAAGATTTGTTCGATACGTGTTATGTGTTGTGATGTAGTTCGTCTGGTTTAGACAGTATAATTGCTTAAAGTCAAATTTAACCTTTGTGCCCCTCCCACACTATATACAATTTAATGCATAAGATCAATTAATAATGCAATATCTACATTAACACTTTGACTGATTTGTGTTGAAATAAATATGCTCTAGACATGTGCCGGTCCGTGCACATCCTTTGCAAGTGATTAATTGAGTAAATGCGTTGAAGTTACACACTGATCATAATTCATGCAAAATTATGCCAATTATGCAATGCCCGTCCGATGTTAGCAGCGGCTTTGATTAAATAATTATTTCATTAAACAATTAGAGAGCATCTTGAATTATTGCCGCTCGGATAATTAATTTAATAATGTACAGACATATAGCTTTCCTCCGAGCGATGCCTTACATCGCTTTTCATGTATACTGATCATCAAATCTCACGAAGACGAGCGATCTGTATAATTAAAACTATTTTTTTATTTTATTTATCATAAATTGATATACATAAATTGGGATGTACATTATTTCTCTAATTAATATGTTTGGGAAACAGAGGCGTTCATACTTAATAAGCTTTATTGAAATCCTAGTGTGTGTTATTCAGAACAAATCAAATATTCATATTATATACAAATATATATATATATATATATATATATATATATATATATATAGTGTGTGTCCCAGATATTTACATCAAACGGGGGTATTGAACGTAACTGTTTTCTTAGCTAAAAAAATTTAGAAATAAAAATTGTCTCACATTGTTTGGAAATTATGAGCTTTTAAGTGCAACCCAGAGCTTTGGTGACATTATGACCATTTTTTTAGTTATTGTTGGTAACCTTTATTAATTTTGTTTATTTAAACTTTTGAACTGTAACCGTGAATAACATTCCTAAGACTTTAACATTGACACTTTTTGTTGAACTGCGAATTTAATTTTAATCGGTCGAATTTGAAAGGCCTTCCTGTAAAAATAATGTAAGGTTCATTAAAAGTTGGCGTATTTAATCATTATTGTAAAATGGTAAATACTTGATCATTTTTATATTGAAAAATTTTGAGTAAAAAAATTAAAACATAAAAATGGCGTGATTTTTGCTAGTACATTATACTTAATTTAGTTTTCTCATTGACCTGTGCATTAAGGGACGTACTTTTATTATCAGCACAATATTTTAAACATTATTTAATAAAGCAGTCTTGTTTCTCTGTTATGCAAATAATTTACTCTAGATGTAAAATCTGCTTATCGAACCAAAATTTAAATATCTTTCTGTATTAACTAGTTAACTATGGCGCTTTCATTGAAATGTGCCCAAAGTTTATAAAGTAACATAAAATGCTACTTTGAACTATTTATTTTATACCAGCATGTCCTCAAAATATTCTACATAACTTGAAATTCGAAAATATGTTTTGATTATCTTCTTTTAATAATTGAAATCTAAATAGGCAATGGTCTGAAATTCTACCATTTCTCAATGACGAGTATATTTATCAATCACAATCTGTCTAGAAATTAATTAAATCTCTATAATTTGAGTCACTCTATAGCTATTTACTATTCAAGCTAAAATTACTCATGGAGTTTAAATAAATTTAATTGCATTTTTGTTCTTCCATTGTAATTTATGGTACAAAAAATGCATTTTATTGAAATATTTTTTACCTGATTTTGTTATTATGTTACAAGACAATTTGCGTATATTTTTTATATATTTTACTTTGAATATATTTAATTGGCAATATTAATTTAAATATTAATTATTTAAGTATTAGTTAATTTTGATTTAATGAGATCATTTTAAAGAATGCATATTTATTTGGCCCCAACATTGACTGATATGATGCTGAAATACTATAATAATAATTAACTAACGTTAGTAAATTATTAAATTAAATGTGGGACAAGTGTTTTCTATTTCATATAATACATTTTTTAATAGAGTGCAGGTATCTAAAATTCATATCGGTGAATGCACACAATATTTTCATCGTCAATTAAATTCATTTCACATTGAATCGGAACGATATAGCATTTCCATTCTTTAATTATTACAGAGCGCTGTGATATATTTCACGCTATGTGCATAAACATGTATAGTTCATGCACATATATTTTATATATTTATATAAACGCCTGTACGTCTATTTAATGCTTATTCAAACCGATATGGCATCGATTATTATTTGACAAGCCATCAAGTGTATCGCTTAAAAAAGTCATTTTGTGTCATTTATCGCTTCATATAGGTTTTCTTACAAATCAAAGTCATTAATCATAATATAATATGCATAAATATCACAATACTTCACTGAATGCAATATATAAATTACAATTCAGTTTGTACTGGATAATTTGTATCGAATCTACGCCGAACCAACAAATAAACGATCATTAAATCCGAGATAGCGCGCTGCGATAGCTCCAGATAAATTTCATATCGAATGAGACATGCTAACGACTAATTACATCGGATTTATTATCTATATATACACAAAGACCAGTATTGATGTGTGTATGCACATTTGATAAGTTCAATACACTACTTGAATAGTAAAACATTGTACATTTCGAATTGATAATGGATTAATCTTTCGTACTTGCTGCGTAACCGTCAAATAATGGATACATTCATGGGTTTATATTTTGTTCTATATTTGACCGTTATATATAATGAAGGTTTTCAGATTTCCATACATTAAATATATTTATTATTAAACATTCTGCATGCTTTTCGAGTCTTAAAATGATACTTTATCTGTATGACGAGATGCAATCCTAAAATATAGGCATGCAAATAAACATTAATTAAAGATAACGCATAATTATGAATAACAAGGAAAAATATATAAAATGACGTACATGACAAATTCCAACTTGGAGCTCAAAACTTAAAAACTTCGAAATTTTATAATATATTTATCAGCATCCGAACTAACATTGGGTAGGGCCATGTTATGTAGGGCGGAGCACAAAGGTTCAATTTGACTTTCAGTAATTGTAGAGGAGACTGGGTACGGTTGTTCATGAAAGATGAACTATACTGATTTTGAGATAGGGTCCAAAGAGAGAAAGATGAAGTATGAT